TTTACAGCTTCTGATATCTGTCTAGTTTCCTTTATTTTTAAACTGATACGTCTCTTTTTCATGTCAGGTAAGTTCTATACTTTGACGACTGGGGCCAATGAGAGAAGATGGGAAAAGATGAAAGACCGACTATACACTGTTGTAGACTCCTTCAAGATATTCAATGTTTGAAGCACTTGTTCACATCAAGTTATCAGTTTGGGAACAATATATTCTGGATTGCAAGCACCTCTGTGTATTGGCGGAGTACAAGGTCATGTTCTTCCTTATTTCAAGATCTTCCACCTTTTTTTCCATTTTCTTTCTGCAACTAAAGATTCTTTATATAACTATATCAAAATTGTTATTCAAAATGCAAAAGAACTGAGTCTTATTCACTCAATTTAACATAAACCATATTGTCGTGGCTGTGAATACACTGACAGTTGCTAAATTCAAAGAGAAATAAATTGGTAGATTAGGAAAAAAGGAGTGTTTGTTTAAGTCAGACTTGGCAGCTTAAATACCCACACGTATTGGAGCATGGATTTTTTTAAAGGTGACTTAATTCCACTGGTTGATCAATGGAAATATTAGAGAAAAAGGAGTGTTTGTTTAAGTCAGAAAGTGGGGTAGAATTAGACTTGGTGATTGGATTTGGTCCTCTCTTTTGCTTGCCGGTGAATTTGGAAATGGAGGAAAAAAGCCTGCATGACCTATGGAATAGCACATTTTCAAAAACGGCTAGCTTGGGGTCAAAGAAGTCATATAGACTTGGTCCAAACCTCCTAATTCTTTTAAGTCTTTAAGCTTGTTATCCTTTCACTCTTTCTTTGTAGCTAGCATTCTTTCTTTGTAGCTAGCATTCGAACCGCCATGAATGCATTCTTTCTTTGCTGCAAGGTAAGTATCCTGGAGTTACTAATTACCTTTTAACAACAACCATGTCTTCCTGGCATTCATTGTTCAGAAGTTCAAATCTTTTTCTTGAACTGAAAAACATATCTATGGATTTTGTTTAAGTGCTGGACCACAGACTTGTGCTGCCAGAGGAGTTTAGTGAAAGAAAAGGTTAATATTGGTCCTCCATCACAATATGAAGTTAAAGTTAGCTCCTACTCACTGGTGTTGAGGTTTTTAAGGAAGAGAGCACCAGGAGAGGAGAAATAGAGAGAGAAGCTTGGAAATTGAGTTATTGAAACTGGTAAACCAGTAATTGAAGTGAAAATGGAAGGGGTGCAGACTTCACCATGATGACGGAGATAGGGTCAACTCCAACTCAGTTTTTTCATTAGGCTTTGCTGCAATATATAGCAGAAACTACAACATAAGATGGTTCTTTTCTACTCCTAATTCGCATCTAATATTTGACTACAATATTTATTTATTTATTTATTATTATTTTTTGGGCAAGAAGAATACATCAACAATGTTTATTTTACAAACGTAAACCTATAACTTGGACAAAATGTCAATGTAAAATTTCTTGAGGATGGAAAGCTGGAAAGCTGGATTTTATAGCCAAATTTCTTGAGGCTTGCCCTGAATGCATCACTGATGTGACCATTCAAGGCCAGACTGCCATACAAATCGCCGCTGAAACAACAACTTTGACACTTTGGAACTCCTAGTCTGTTGGTTTAGAAAGACCACCCATAAGTACAGCGTCACGTGGAAGGAACAAGTTCTGAACATGAAGGATCGAGAAGGAAACACAGTTCTACATATAACTGCATTCAATAATCACCTCCAGGTATAGATATTCTTGTCCATTCTAATTCCCTTTCTTTCATTGGTATGGTTCCATTAACTTAGCAAATTAACAGTTTGGGTGCACTGCAATGAAAAAACAAGCAAAAGATGATTCGATTAATGGCTGCATTTCATTGATCAAAATCTGTTTGTTTTTGCTACATATGCCCTGCAGATGGTAAAATTGTTGCTAAAAAGTAACATTTGCAAGAACGAAATCAAGTTGAACGGCCAATCAGCTATGGATGTGTTACAAGGGCAAGTCAACAACAACGAAACCGCTGACACTCTTCGTGGAGTTGGATGTGTAGAAGCGGCAAGAATTCTAGCACGTCGGACATTAGCGGACTTGTTGAGATAAAAAACGTCGTGGTTGGAAACATTCCAAAGAAACATGGCTCGTCATAATATCAGAAACATTCCAAAGAGACATGGCTTGTCAGAATAACAAGATATCTAGTGACATGAGGAATGCTATGCTGGTAGTAGCTGTCCTGATCCTAACAGCTAGCTACCAAGCAAGTCTTAGTCCACCTGGAGGTGTTTGGCAGGGTAACATTGATTCTGGTGGCAGTAGCACCACTGACAAAGGAAACATTGATTTTGGTGGGGTTAATTTCATTGATCCCTGTAGCAGTAGCACCACCGACAAAGGAAACATTGATTTCAGTAACACCACAACCTTCAGTAGTGTATCGCCTTTCACTAAGAGTAGTAATAAGCTCAGGCTTGAAAACAAAAACCCTTTCTCTGGAGTTAGAAACAGAACCTTTCACTGACAGTCCTAACAAGGTCGGGTTCAACAACCAAAAAACCTTTCCCTGAAAATTCGTAGTAATAAGGTTGGTGTCAAAAACAGAAAACCTTTCACTGACAGTAGCAGTAGTGATAAGGTTGGGGTTTCAGTCATGTGAAACCCTGGTTTTGCTTACTTCTATTCTATAAATGCTGCAACTTTCATGGCAACGACCTGCCTAATGTTTTTCCTGCTTCCTGATGAAGCCATAAATCTGCTTACAATACCAGTCCTATTATTCATTCTCTGCTACTTGCTATCAATGATATACCTAGCTCCATTTTCATTTTGTACTTTGATTTTCCCCTTTGTCCCTGCACTTTCTCCTATCCTTGTTGCTACTGTCATCTTCTTTATTGTGTGTGCACCTATGTTTTTGGACCTATCTCTCCGATCCCACAGGAGTTTGTTGTAATCTTGATGAATGCTAATGTTCCTCCTCAAAATCAAGAATTTTGTGTATAAGAATTTTGCTTATTCCTGGATACATTTTGTTTGGTACTGAATCTTGCAGTAGTTGTGGACAAGTAAAACAACCACGTGTTTCGACTGCTATTGACCTTAAATCTTAATATTAATCCTGGTTCATCAGTAATATCAGAAATTGGGGTAGAATTAGATATGGTGATTGGCATTGAGAAAATGAGAATCGGTCTTCCTTTGGCCCGCTGTATAACCAATGACTGATGCCCCTTTTCAGCAGGAACTTGTTGTTTTGAGGAATATTAAACACGAGGAATATTAAGTCAGAAGGTCTAATTTAAAGATGTGTGCTGACAGGAGACTTGATAAAAGAAAGGGTCAATATTGGCCTTCTATTGCTACAGGAAGTATTGAAGTTAAAGCTAGCTCGTACCCACTCCGTGGAAAATTCTCTTTGAAATTTTCTGGAAGAAATTAAAAGATTGGACGCGTCAACAAGTTTGTCCCTTATGTTTTTCATCACCCTTTTCATGATTCTTTTAGCTACATATAGTTCTAGTCCATCTTGATTATCCCTCCATAAATCTTTTGGCAGTCATTGTATGCAGTATCATTTGTTTCATCTTGCAAATCACCATGGATGAGAAGATGAGGGAGGTTGCTCAAGTGGGAGATGTCCATGCCTTTTATGCGCTGATTCAGGAGAATCCATTTGTTTTGGAGAGCATTGATGGATTCCCGTTCATTGACACTCCACTGCATATAGCTGCTTTTGGAGGGCATATTGATTTTGCTATGGAAATGATGAACTTGAAGCCATCATTTGCAAGGAAGCTAAACCCAGCTGGGTTTAGCCCCATGCATCTTGCACTATTAAATCACCAAACTCTTGTAGCACGCGAACTCTTGAAAGTTGATAAAGATCTTGTCCGTGTCAAGGGGAGGGGCGGTTTGACTCCCATGCATTTCGCAGCTAAAAATGGAAACTTGGATCTTATGGCTGAATTTCTTGAGGCGTGCCCCGAATGCATCACAGATGTGACCATTCAGAACCAGACTGCCTTACATATTGCGGCCAGCAACAATAGCATTGAAACTCTGGAACTCATGGTTTGTTGGCTTCAAAAGACCACCCACAAATACGCTAACATTTGGAATAAACAAGTTTTGAACAAGAAAAATCGGGAAGGAAGCACGGTTCTACATATAGCTGCATCCATGAATCAACCCCAGGTACAGATATTCTCTTACACTCTAATTTCCCCCTTTATTTACTAGTCTGGTTTAATTTCATTAACGTAGCAAACCTTGAGTATTAGATGATATTTGATTAGTTGCAACATTTCATCAATCAAAATCTGTTTGTTTGTCAACATATGCGAAGCAGATGGTAAGATTGTTATTAAAATGTAAGGCGATCTCCAAGAACGAAGTCAATTTGAACGGCCAATCAGCTTTGGATATGTTACAACGCCAAGTTAACAACAGCAAAACCGCACACATTCTTTGTGAAGCTGGATGTATGGAAGCTGAAAGAATTCCTGCACGTCAAACATTAGCAGAGTCATTGAGATCAAAAATGTCTTGGTCGGAGACATTCCGAAGAACAATGGCTTGTCAGAATAACAAGATATCTAGTGATATGAGGAATGCTATGCTAGTAGTAGCTGTACTGATCCTAACAGCTACATACCAAGCATGTCTTAGTCCCCCTGGAGGTGTTTGGCAGGGTAACATTGATACTAGTAGTACCACTGACAAAGGCAACATTGGTTTCAGTAACAGCACAACATTCGGTTTACCATTCACTAACAGTAGTAATGAGGTCAGCGTCAAAAGCAAAAATCCTATCACTAAAAGTAAAATCGGGGTATCAGTCATGGCAACCCCTATTTATGCTTACTTCTATTTTATAAACACAGCAACTTTCATGACAGCAACTTGCTTAGTGTTTTTCTTGCTTCCTGATGAAACCATAAATCTGCTTGCCATACCAGTCCTCTTATTCATTCTCTGTTACATGCTGTCAATGATATACTTAGCTCCATTTTCAATTTGTAATTTTATTTTCCCCTATGCCTCTGCACTTCGACCACTTTCACCTATTCTTGTTGCTATTGTCATCTTCCTTCTTGTGTGTGCGCCTAAGTTTTTGGCCCGTTATCTCCGATCCCGGAGGAGTTTGCTCTTATCGTCATAGATGTTAATTATGTTTCTCCTCGTCCTCAAACTAACAATTTTATTTTTTTTTCTGTGCACGACCCCTATATTACGAATAGTTAAAATGTAATTTTTCTCTCCTATATATTAAGAATTTGATCATCATAACTTATAAGGGAATATATTTTTGCTTATCTTTGGATTTTACTTTATTACCTAGATATTTTATGTGATGAATTTCATGTTTGTGTATTTTTATCTCCTGAATCATGAACAGGCCAAGATGTTCCTATTCCAATTTCATTGATGAATTAACTGTTGTTTCCCACCAATAAAAATGTCAAGGTGAACAATAATTTTTACAAATGATATATTATTTTCAAGGATAATATTAATTGCAATTGTCTTATCTCAAAAAAAGAATGTAAGTATCTTTTACAATTTTTTTAGTGATAATAACCATTCTCACTAATAAGTACTTCTAGATATTTTTAGAAAGAAATTAAACATATTTAGTGCCTTATACGCAACCATCTTTAGAGATAGGCATAAGATCCTGTCAAAAAAATACTTATATCATAATATGAAGACATTTTTTATATAATTTTTATATATTATTAAATGAATGAAAATACATATAAATTTCAGCTATATATAGTGTTATATACCACATCATAATTATCATCCCAATTAACCAGTATTATCTGTTTCTACTTGCAAATCGCCACGGATGAGAAAATGAGGGAGGTAGCTCAGGCCGGAAATGTCGATGCCTTGTATGCACTAATTCAGGAGAATCCTTTTGTTACAGACAAGCCATCATTGCTATAGGGAGCTGTTGAGGCATGTGCGTTCTGCATGGTGTTTGAAAAAGCATGCAAATTTCAGCCTTTGAAATTTGGTTGCATGGGAAATCTCATGGCAACCCAATTTTGTTGAAAAATTGGAAGTCTCATGGCAGCCTTTGAAATGGAAATTTGGTTGCTGCAACTTTGTCCATGCAACATTTATTGTGCATGGTTGGATTATGACTTTGGAGCCCATTGCATTCATTGTGGGTGGTTGGCATTTGGCTATAAAAGGCCATTTGGCCATTCGGCAAATCACACCAAGAAAAGCAATTCAAAGCAAAGTGAGCTCTAGAAAATACAAGAGTTTTGTGAGTGCTTTGGGTGAGGGTGAGTAAGAGCAAAGTGGTTAAAATTACTTTGCTAAGTGTTTTTTGAGTGTGTCTCGCATTTAAAAATATTGCGAGTAAGATTTGGGTGTAATTGGGGATTGAGTATATTTTTGAGACTACCACAAATCGTATCTCCCTATTTTAATAGTGAATTTTTCTTTGTGAGTGCCCGTAGACCTAGGCTCAATTAAATTAGCCGAACCATGTAAATTCTGTCTTTTTTGTGGTGGTGCATTTTTTTTTATTCCATTAATTTCTTAATCTTGTAGTGGGTTAACCAAAATCTCAAGCAATTTGTTCCAACAAACTGGTATCAGAGTGACGGAGGTGGTTAATGCTTGAGAAATTGTTTTAATCGTGATGGCATCCGGAGCCAAGTACGAGAATGAGAAATTTAATGGTGGCAAAAATTTCAGCTTATGGAGGTTGAAGATGCGGGCCATGCTAATATAGCAGGGGCTGTGGAAAACACTAGAAAAGGAAGGCAGGCTACCGGAACTCTATCAAAGGAAAAGAAGATAGACTTGAAGGAGCGGACGTTGAGTGCAATTCAACTCTCACTTTTTGACGAAGTCTTGGGGGAGGTTGCAGAAGAAAATTCAGCTTCTGCATTATGGTCGAAGCTGGAAGCCCTTTACTTAACCAAATCAGTCACTAACCGATTGTATCTGAAGAAACGGTTGTTCACCCTCAGTATGAATGAAGGTGGTTCCATCAAAGACCATCTTGATGAGTTCAACAAGCTCATTTTAGACTTGAAGAATATCGATGTGAAGATAGAAGATGAAGACCAGGCAATTATTGTTTTGTGCTCATTGCCTGACTCTTATGATAACTTTGTTGAAACTCATCTTCATAGTAGAGATCAACTCTCTATGGAAGATGTTAAGGTGGCCCTGAATTCAAAAGAATTGAAGAAGAAGGTGTCCGAAGATGAGTGGTGATCAAGCAGCAGGATTAGTCATAAGAGGTAGACAAAATAACAGAACTTTCAACACGCGAGGAAAGTCTTGATCCAAATAGAGAGCCAAGCATGCTCGATGTTACGAGTGCAATGAGACGGGACATTTCAAGAAAAATTGTCCCAAGCTCAAGGAGAAGAAAGCTGAAAAATCCGGTGATGCCAACATTGCCAGTTGCAGTGATAATTTAGATGATGAAGATTGTGTTCTATCTATCTCTACAAACTCCTCCGGTGAGGAATGGATTTTAGATTCGGGTTGTTCATTCCATGTATGCCAACGACGTGACTGGTTTGAAACATATAAACCAGCCACTGGCACGGTGGTTCTTGGTGATGATACAGCGTTGCCTATTGTTGGAATTGGCAACATCCGTATCAAGATGTATGGTGGGATGGTCAAAACATTCGAGGTTCGTCATGTGCCAGGTTTGAAGAAAAATCTCATTTCCATGATTGAGCTAGACTCCAAGGGCTGCCGATACTCCTGTGAAGGTGGAGTTCTCAAAGTCTCTAAAGGAGCTCTCGTAATATTGAAAGGGAAGAAAGTTGGTGGTCTTTATCACGTACAAGGAAGCACAATCAATGGCATATGTGCTGTGTCAACTTCAAGCAGTCTAGATAAAGATGTAACTCGATTATGGCATATGCGACTTGGGCATATGAGTGAAAGAGGGATGATGGAGCTGAGCAAGCGGGGTCTTCTGTGTGGCCAGAAAATTGGCAAGCTAGACTTATGTGAGCACTATGTTTATGGCAAGCAGTGTAGGTTGCAGTTTGGCAAAGGAGTTCATCGAACTCAAGGCATAGTTGATTACATTCACTCAGACTTGTAGGGTCCCTCGCTTGTTGCATCAAAAGGTGGAGTTGTGTATATGTTGACTTTCATCGATGATTATTCAAGAAAGGTGTGGGTATACACCTTAAAGAGTAAGAGTGACGTGTTCCTCACCTTTAAGCAGTGGAAGACGCTGATTGAGAAGCAGACTGGAAAACAAATCAAGCATCTAAGAACATATAATGGTCTTGAGTATTGCAGTGGTGAGTTTGATACTTTTTGCAAGAATAATGAAATTGTGCGACATCGCACTGTCAGGATGACACCACAGCAAAATGGTGTTGCAGAAAGGATGAATCGTACACTCTTGGAGAGGGCACGGTGTATGCTCTCAAATGCTGGATTATCAAAGGACTTTTGGGCAGAAGCTATCAATCATGCTAGTTATCTTGTAAATCGGTCTCCATCCACAACAATTAGATTAAAGACTCCAGAAGAATTATGGTCAGGTTCTCCTGCTGATTATTCACAGTTGAGGATATTTGGTTGTCCTGTGTATGCTCATGTTAGGGATGATAAACTTGAGCCAAGGGCAGTGAAGTGCGTATTTCTAGGGTACGCTTCCGGGGTAAAAGGCTATAGACTGTGATGTGTTTAGAAGTCACCTCGGTTCCTCATGAGCAGAGATGTAACCTTTGATGAGTCTGCTATGCTCCAAAAAGCAAAAAAGGAGTCTATAATTGCAAAGCCAGACCATGGAGTTAGCAAGCAGGTGGACTTTAAAGCAACAACTCCAGAAAAGGTAGTGCGGGACGACAGTATTGTCCAAGAGAATCTAGATGAGGTGCAAGATCCAGAGCTAACAGATACTCCAATGGAGGTGGAGGCGCTTGAACAAACACAACAACAGTATAATATTGCTATTGGTAGACAGAGGAGGGAGACCAAACCACCTAAGAGATATGGCTATACAGATTATGTTGCCTATGCTCTATCAGTTACAGAACCAGTAAAGGCTGAGGATCCCAATACTTATCGGGAAGCAATTACCAAACAAGAATCTCCTTATTAGCTTGCTGCCATGACAGAGGAGATTGAGTCTCTACATAAGAACCAGACATGGAAGCTTGTGAAGCCACCAAAGGGACGAAGAATTGTTGGATGCAAATCGGTCTTTAGGAGAAAAGAAGGAATCCCGGGGGTAGAGACACCCAGATTCAAGGCTAGATTGGTTGCGAAGGGTTTCACACAACGGGAGGGTATTGATTTCCATGAGGTATTCTCTCCTGTGGTGAAACACAATTCTATCCGTGTTTTACTTGCCATGGTTACTTTATATGATCTTGAGTTGGAGCAGCTTGATGTAAAGACTGCTTTCTTGCATGTTGAGTTGGAGGAATGGATTTATATGTCTCAACTAGAAGGGTTCATAGTTTCAGGAAAAGAAGATCATGTTTGTTTGCTCCAGAAATCCTTATATGGATTGAAACAGTCACCTCGGCAGTGGTACAAACGATTTGACAACTTCATGGTTAAGAGTAGATTCACTCGGAGCAACTATGATAGTTGTGTCTATCATAAAAAGCTTGGAGATGGTTCTTGGGTTTACTTGTTGTTGTATGTTGATGACATGCTTATTGCTGCCAAAAGCATGTTAATCATTGATGATTTGAAGAAGCAGCTTAATGGTGAGTTTGAGATGAAAGACTTGGGTGCAGCTAAGAAGATCTTAGGAATGGAGATTCACAGGGACTGTAAGGGAGGTAAATTGTTTCTCTCTCAAAAGAAGTACACTGAAAAAGTACTTGAGCGGTTTGGCTTACATGAAGCTAAGGTTGTGACTACTCCTTTGGGAGCACATTTTAAGCTTTCATCAAATTTGTCACCAGAAACGGAGGAGGAGAAGAAGTTTATGGCGCGTGTTCCTTATGCGAGTGCTGTTGGGAGCTTAATGTATGCTATGGTATGTACTCGTCCTGATATTTCACATGCAGTTAGTGTGGTTAGTCGATATATGGCTAATCCGGGTAAAGGACACTAGGAAGTTGTGAAATGGATCCTCTGGTATTTACGAGGCACAACAAATGTTGGACTAGTCTATGATCGGAGTGCTAATCCGAGTGGAAATGTAGTCGGATTTGTCGACTCTGATTTTGTCAGTGATTTGGACAAAAGGAGATCAACTACAGGATATGTCTTTACTCTCTCAGGGTGTGCCATTAGTTGGAAAGCTACATTGCAATCAACAGTCACCTTGTCAACAACTGAGGCAGAGTACATGGCAATTATTGAGGCAGTAAAGGAAGCATTATGGCTAAAGGGTTTGGTTAGTGATCTCGGGGTAGAACAAAATGAGATGGTGTTTTGTGATAGTCAAAGTGCCATTCACTTGACGAAGAACACCATGTACCACGAGAGAACCAAACATATACAAGTTCGGTATCACTTCGTTCGGGAAGTTATATCCAATGGAGATGTGCTCGTTGAAAAGATATCAACTGATGAGAATCCTGCGGATATGATGACAAAGCCGGTAAGTGGAATCAAGTTCAAGCATTGCTTGGACTTGATTAGTGTCCAAAGTGCTTAATGCCTCTCGGGGCATTATGGCACCAAGGGAATGAAGCTATTGGTTCTGAATCTTATTTTTTCGAATGCTCGCCAAGGTGGAGATTATTGAGGCATGTGCGTTCTGCATGGTGGTTGAAAAAGCATGCAAATTTCAACCTTTGAAATTTGGTTGCATGGGAAATCTCATGGCAGCCCAATTTTGTTGACAAATTGGAAGTCTCATGGCAGCTTTTGAAATGGAAATTTGGTTGCTGCAACTTTGTCCATGCAACATTTATTGTGCATGGTTGGATTATGACTTTGGAGCCCATTGCATTCATTGTGGGTGGTTGGCATTTGGCTATAAAAGGCCATTTGGCCATTCTGCAATTCACACCAAGAAGAGCAATCCAAAGCAAAGTGAGCTCTAGAAAATACAAGAGTTTTGTGAGTGCTTTGGGTGAGGGTGAGCAAGAGCAGAGGGGTTAAAATTACTTTGCTGAGTGTTTTTTGAGTGTGTCTCGCATTCAAAAATACTGTGAGTAAAATTTGGATGTAATTGGGGATTGGGTATTTTCTTGAGAGTATCACAAATTATACCTCCCTATTTTAATAGTGAATTTTCCCTTGTGAGTGCCCGTGGACGTAGGCTCAATTAAATTAGAGCTGAACCAGTAAATTCTGTCTTTCTTGTGGTGGTGCATTTTTTTTATTCCATTAATTTCTTAGTCTTGTAGTGGGTTAACCAAAATCTCAAGCAATTTGTTCCAACAAGAGCAAATAGACCTAGGAGATTGTCGAATTTGTGCATCTAAAGAAGTCCCATCTAATACCCCAGGTCTTTAATTTCTAGAGTAGAAAGACTAAGCATGACTCCGCCCCGACCATGCCGGTGCCGAAGCAACTGCATGCTGCAATCTGTTTGAGTCCAACTAGCCCTACATTCACGCAATCTTCCTCTACCTCAGGTAAAATACAATGAAAATACATTGAGATAGTCAAGATAGAAACTCCAAAGAAAGAAATTCCAACAAGGAAAAATCTCATCTTTTATTAATTCATACTCCCTGGTCACTGAAAGGGATAGAAAGTTAGAGACACTGTCAGGGGTAGTGAAAAAGCAAGAGAGAGAACAAATTCGCTTGCCCCCTTCACCAAGGCAAGTTGACCATATCTCATTACTCCAATTCGAAGTTTCATTGAGGTGTATGACTAAAGGAAAATAGTCCTTAGCGTGTAGTTTGGTGGATGGTAAGATCATTGTCATTTTATAAGTGATCTTGAATAATTACAAATAATAACATATATACTTAGTAATTAATTTTTTCTGTATGGACAGTGTTTGTTACTCTATCTGGACAATAGTAGCATGATTGGGTTTCGGTCTCTAGAATCTCATATGGCTTAGAGGCGATTGTGATACTTCAATTCCACATTGAAATAAAGAGTATAATTGTTTGTTTGTTTGTTTTATATATGTATGTATATATATATATATATATATATATATATTAACCTCCCGATATCAAATAACCACATTGAGTCTTAATTAATTTGAAATCGAATCACGTCGGATCTTATTAAGGAGAAGTTCTTACGGTACCTATTCTTTCATTTACAAAACTTGAACTTAAGATCTTATTTAACGGGAATTGAGTTTTTTCCACTTAGACCAACAAATCGCTGGTAAAAATATAATTGTTAGTGATAAATAAATATAGTATCCAACTGCTATTATGACTTGAATTTGAAAGCTTATTATGAAGAGTTGTTAACCTTATTATGAAGAGTTGTTAACGTGTTTTGGTACTAGTCCTTTCATGATCATACCCCTATATTCAAGGACGGAGGAGGGCCATGGCACCCCCATAAGATATTTATCTAACTTGAAATTAAGAAAATAATTAATTTGAAACAACTTATTAGTAAAAAAAAAAAATAATATAGCTACTAAATTTATTTGTATGTTATTTTTATTCCATAGAGTAATTTATAATGTGAAAGAAAAAATAAAAAATTTATCAATCCCTTAAAATCTTGATCAAACTCTGTTCCTGCTTTATCCTACCTCATGGATGAGGTTTGAAGGTTTGTTGAAGGAAGCGCACGGATGAAAGGGGAAGTCATTAGCGTGTAATTAGTGGCTAATTAATGTCACTGTCTTTTTTGGTTGTAAAAGAAAATATCAGTGTCAATTTCTTTTGTTTTGCCTATCGGCAACGTTCAGAGCCCACGTGAAAACTATGTATGAACAGAGTTTCAACCCAGACTTTGGGTAAATTTTTCTGGTAAGAAATAGGAGAAAGAAGGTGTGAAAGAGCAGAACGTTTTGCTCACTTTCATTCAACTGCTGATATATGCTTACAACATAACAGAAGATGAGTTGATGTTCACTGCAGTGGAATTTTCAACTACTTTGCACCTTTCATTTGCATTTGCATTTGCATTTCATTTGCTGTTCATTGCAACTTCATTTCATCAACATTTGCAGCTTAGCATGCTGCACATTTTTTTTGTCATTTGACAGATTCATTTCCATCATATTTGCAGTTAAATTGCTGCCATATTTGCTGTCAAATTGCAGCTCATTTGCTGTCAATTTTCACATGTTTTTATTGAAAAGATTCCTATGACTTATTTCGTTTTTACAAATGGCTATGCAGGTAAATTAGCAACATCCTCGAGCTTGCAACGAGATTCACCATTTCACATTCAACCATTTCTATGACAATTTTAGGATATCAAAACAATATTAAGTAGTTGTGCTTGATCAATAGTAAGAGTTCTTCAAACCTCATGTAATATTGTGCTTGACATAAGTTCTTCTTGTTTTCTTTTGTATCAAATGGTATTACAAATACTCTATTATTAATAATATTTTATTATTATTTTATCTTAATCATTTCTTTTACTGCATCATGAATTATTATTACTCTTTTAAAGGGAATAAATTAGACAATTTTCATTAAAAGAAAGTCACATTTACATTTCTTTCTCCTCTTCCTAGAGAATCAAAACCATAAAACTTTTTATATCAAAATGCAAAAGTTATCAATGAAACTTTCAAAAAAAGCACGTTGTATCCTTGCCAAATGTAATATTATCATATAATCATTTTGTCAACATTTTTAATGATGATTCTTTGTTAGCACTTCATTTTTGTTACTTTGAACCTGAAAACATAAAAGTATATATTCTTGTTAATAGAACAAGTATTGTAAATTGAAAAATTATTTTCTAATTAATTTACCTGATTTGAAGTAGTCAAAATATGATTAATATCATTAAGTATTTTTGTAAATGTACCGTGTGAATGGACAAACAAGCTAGAATCCTGTGCATATAAATTAATAATAGGTTAAAACCTCATTTTGGTCCTTGAACTATTGTACGGACCTCAATTTGGTCCCTAAAATAAAAAAATCCCTGATTTGGTTATTACTGTTTACCATTTTGACCCCGATTTGGTCCTTTCGTAAACTCACAGTGAGTTAATGACATGGCAAAAATTTTAGACACGTCAGATCAAAATGATGACATGGCAACATAATAGGTTATATTCATGCCATGTAACCCACCAAAATTACAATTTTACCCTCATCTTCTTTCTTGAGCATCCTCTTACTCAAATCTTCTTGATTCATCCTTCTTTTCCCTATCTTTGCCTCCTCCGAGACAACTTTTATCACCATTTTTCTAAGTCAAACAATTAATTCAATGAAATGGAATTCCATTCTTCATCAATCAATTCTTTTTCATCATCAAACAACAAAACCC